GCCGCCCGTGTTCCAACTGCACAGGGTGCCGCTGTCAAGCGCGGCGGGCGGCAGCACGTGGAGCGCGCGAGTTAGAACAGACTGCACCTCCGTGCTCATGGGAAGGAAAAAACAAAGCCAGCGAACTGATCCTATCCTTGAACCTGAACTCTGCTGTCGTCGTCGTCCTCCCTGGCCTTCAGCTCGTCTGAGCCCGACTGGCCGATCAACTCGTCGTCGTCGTCGTTCTCGTCGTCCCCAAGACGACCCCCAAGAAGACCCTCCACCGTCGGCGCCCCAGCTGGGACCCCTATGGCCTGCCGCCCAATCCCGAGATCCAAGAGGACCCCCCAGACCCCAAAACCCCAAGAGAACCCCCGAGACCCGCGAGGAACCCAAGACCCCAGGATGAACCCCGAGACCCCAAGACCCCAAGAGTACACCAAGACCCCAAGACTAGAACGAACCATGAAGGACACGACTATGATGTGGAACGGAAGATGAGGAATGATGATGTAGATTATGGATGTAAGATGATATATGGGTGAGTTAGAAGTTGTTTAGGTTTTGAAAATGATCAACGATCGCGTGATCGCATGCACAAGCGCATGTGTCGCCGAAGTTGTACAACGCATGAGCAAGACGAAGAAGACAAACCAAGCGAAAGCAGACAAAACAAGACAAAACAGACAAAACAAGACAAAGCAGACAAAATCAGACACGAAAACACCTTCCATACCTTCCGCGCGGAAGGTATGGAAGGTGGAGACTCAGGGCACTGTCCCCGCCACTGTCCCGCTATCCCCTCACCACTGTCCCCACCAACACCGTCCCCACCACTGTCCGCACCCCCACTCGGTTTTCGAAGGGGGGGGGTTCGAACCGGTAGTGACCCCCCCCGGTTTTCCAGATCCGGAGGGGGGGGGGGGGAGGGGTTCGAACCGGTAGTGACCCCCCCCCGTTCATGATGAGCAGGGGGGGGGGGGGGGGGGGGGAGGGGTTCGAACCGGTAGTGATCCTTCCGGTTTTCCGGAGGGGGGGGGGGGGAGGGGTTCGAACCGGTAGTGACCCCCCCCCGGTTTTCCGCCAGCAGCGGTAGAACACGCTCTTTCCCTTCTGTTAAGCCAAACGCAATCTCTGATGCTTTCTTTCTGGGGAAATCGAGAAGATTAGGTCGCCTCGTTGAGGCGCCTATACTTCCGTTACGCTCGGAAGGCATTCGATCTTCTATTCGTCCGAACGCTCCTTCTTGCGATCCCATGCTCTGCGAGGCGAGCGGTTGTGCCGTCGTTTCGGCTGATAACCAGTCTTTTGCCTGGACACTCATACCCCCTGCAATATATTTTCCGATCGTATATCATGGTCAGTGGGCTCCGCAGGTGGCATGGGTAAGAAAGGATCGTGCCGTCAAGCATAAGCATACACTAGGGTAGCACTGAAGGGAGGAGGCCGGCCCGCCGGCCGACGCACCCGCGCGCGCCGCAGGCTCGCTCCTTTTCCGTTTCCCTAGGGCAAACATAATATAGTTGCGGGGGCAGAGGTAGTCAGTCATCACAGCAGGCAGACAGCGCGCGCAAGGAGAGAGAGCAGGCAGGGCGAAATATTGGTGGTGCGGGCGGAACTGGTGCATTGACTGCTTTGCGAGAGGCGACCCGAAATGGTCCATGGCACCCTCCGCTCTTGCGAGCCTTGGTGTGCAGAGCTTGTTACGTCATCCTTACTTCTAGACAGCTTTGGTGTTAACAACTTGTTGCGTTGCCGCTCCCCGTTGGGAGCCCTGATGATAAGAACCTGTGTTGTCACCGTTCGCTCTTGGGACCATTGGTCGCACCAGCTTGTTTACGTCACAGGTCGCTATTCGAGAGCCTCAGTGTTCACTGGTTGCCCGTGGTTATTGTGGCGGTCGACCCTTCGCTCTTGAGAGCCATGCTGTTCAGAGCTTCTTACGTTGCCGCAGGCCCTTGGGAACCTTGGCGTTAAGAGCCTGTTTTGCCGCCGTTCGCTCTTTGAACCCTTGGGCGCACCAACGCGTTTACGTCACAGGTCGCTATTAGGAAGCCACTGTATTCACTGGTTGCCTGCGGTTCCTCGGGGGGTCGCCCCACCCCAGCACAACAAGCAACCAGTGAACGCAGATATGGCCCGAGATGGTTCACGGCACCATTCGCTCTTGGCAGCCTTGGTGTGGAGAGTTTGTTACGTCACCGCTCGCTTTCCAACGATTCGCTGAATTTCGTGAGCGAACTCAGTAGCTCAGGGTTCGAGGATGTTTCGAGCGAGAGCCTCGTTTTCAACACAGAACGTCTTATACACAGCTCCTCCAATATCTCGTGTTCGAGGATGTCTCGAGCGAAACGGCCCTTGTTTTATACCTGGCTTGGTTTCGGGAGCGACCTCAACATCTCCATTGTTCGAAGATGTCTCGAGCGAGAGCCTCGTTTTCGACTGACAACGCCTTGCAAACAGCTCCTTCAACATCTCACTTGTCCGAAGATGTCTCGAACGAAACGCCCGAAAAAAGGGAACCTACCCGGACAAAAACGGGAAGCGCCGCTTCTCAGAGCTTGCGTTCGCACGCGCGCATGGACTCGCACCCAGAAGAACTATGCGTAAGTGGGGTGCGTGCAGTTGCAGATTCTCCCTAGATGCCCTGGTGGTTGCCGTTTCTAGCTTGGGCTTTGTGATTGCTGTGGTTGCTTTGGTCAGCTGTCGGCCTGTGTATGTGTGTACGTATATGTGCGTGTATGCGTATGTGCGTGCGCGCGTGTGCGTGTGCCTGTGTGTGCCTGTGTGCACGCGCGTGCGGCTGTGTGTGCGGTTGTGTGCGTTTGTGCGCGCGTGTGTGCTGGGCGGGCGGGACGGGGGGGTATATGGCGTGCGTGCGGGGCGTGTACTGGGGTGAGGGCAGGGGGGTGCACGGCGTGCATCGGGGCGTGTTCTGGGGGGGACGGGGGGGGGGGAACACGGTATGCATATGGTTAGTGCGTAGTGTGCCAGCACGTGGATATGTATATGCTATGGAGGTCGCTGCGTCTTACGTGTGAAGACGTATTAACACGAAACACATGTCACAAAACTTCAATTGTCCAAAACAGCTCTTCTGGAGAACCACGGGCAACGAGTGAACACAGAAATTGCCCGAGATAGCCCATGGAACACTTCTTTCTTGAGAGCATGTGTGTTAAGAGCTTGTTACGTTGCCGCTCGCCCTTCGGATCCTTGATGTGAAGAGCCCTGCTCTGATTGTCACCGCTCGCTCTTGGGAGCCATGGTCGTATCAGTTTGTTGAATATCGTCAAAGGTCGCTCTTGGGGAGCCACTGTGTTCACTGGTTGCCTATGGTTCTTCGGGGGGCCGTCATTGCACCCTTTGCTCTCGAAAGCCTTGCTGTTAGGAGCTTATTACGTTGCCGCAGGCCCTTGGGAGCCTTGATGTTAAGAGCCTGTTTTGCCACCGTTCGCTCTTTGGATCCTTGGTCGTACCAGCTCGTTTACGTCACAGGTCGCTATGAGGGAGCCACAGTGTTCACTGGTTGCCTGTGGTTCCTCGGGGGGTCGCCCCGCCCCAGCGCCACAGGCAACCAGTGAAAACAGATATGGCCCGAAATGATTCATTGCACTATTCGCTCTTGGGAGCCTTGATGTGAAGAATGTGTTACGTCACCGCCCGCTCTTGGGAGCCTCGGTGCTAAGAGATTGGTACGTCGGCGCTCGCCCTTGAGAGCCTCGGTGTCGAATATGGTTTACGTCACCGGGCGGCTGTCGGGGAACGAGAGAGACGGAGGAGTTCGCAAGAGGCGACCCCATATGGTTCATGGCACTCTCCGCTCTTGCGAGGAGACGGAGGAGACCTCAGAGACGGAGAAGAGAGGAGGAGGAGGAGAAGGAGGAGGAACAGGAGGAGGGGGAAGAGGAGCAGGAGGAAGATGACGGAGGAGACGGAGTAGAGACGGAGGAGACCTCAGAGACGGAAGAGACCTCAGAGACGGAAGAGACGGAGACCTCAAAGACGGAGAAGACCTCAGAAACGGAAGAGACGGAGGAGACAGGATCTCGAGCTAAGATGATGCGAATACAATTTTCCGAGGATTTCTCGAGCGAGAGCCTTGTTTTTAACAGAAGACGTCTTAACTGCACGGCCCATCTCAATTTTCCGAGGATGTCTCGAGCGAAACGGCAATGTCCAACGATTCGCTGAATTTCGTGAGCGAGCTCAGTAGCTCATTTTGTTGAGGATGTCTCGAGCGAGATCCTCGTTTTCAACAGAGAACGTCTTATAAACAGCCCCTCCAACATCTCAAGTGTTCGAGGATCTCTTGAGCGAAACTGCCTTTTTTTACCCTTGACTAGGTTTCGGGAGCGATCTCAACATCTCCATGTTTCGAGGATGTCTCGAGCGAGAGCCTCGTTTTCGACAGAAAACGCCTTGCACACAGCTCCTTCAACATCTCACTTGTTCGAGGATGTCTCGAGCGAAACGCGGCGCTTCCCGCTCTTGTTCTGGGTAGGTGTGTCTGTCCAACAAAAGAAACCGCGCCTGCCCGTTCACTCTTGGGAGCCTTGGACGTACCAGCTTGTTTACGTCACAGGTCGCTATTACTCTAGGGAGTCTCAATGTCCACTGGTTGCCTGTGGCTCCTCGGGAAGGTCGACCCCCCGAAGAACCATAGGCAACCAGTGAACGCAGATATGGCCTGAGATAGCTCATGGCACCCTTCGCTCTTGAGAACCTTGGTGCCGAAAGCTTGATATGTTTCCGCTCGCCCTGGGGAGCCTTGATGTGAAGAGGCGTTTTCCTCTTGGGAGCCTTGGTCGTACAACCTCGTTCACGTCAAGGGTCGCTCTCAGGGAAGCACTGTATTCACTTCTTGCCTGTGGTTCTTCGGGGGGTCGCCCCATGGCAGAACCACAGACAACCAGTGAACTCAGAGATTGCCTGAGATGGTTCATGGCACCCTGCGCTCTTGAGGTCTTGAAGTGCAGAGCTTGTTACGTCACCGCCCGCTCTTTGGGTCCTTGATGCGAAGAGCCTTGTTTTGTCACCGCTCGCTCTTGGGAGCCTTTTTCTTGCTCGAGAGATTGCTCTCGATAGGCACACGGTCTGTTACGAAAGTCACTATGGAGAAACATGGTCTACTCGACACGAACAGCTCTGTTCACTGCTAGGGCACCGACGACTCGGACATGAAACCACCCTGAGCGTATCCACGATGGGCACTAAGAAACTATCTTACAGAACGTCTGGCCGCCCATCTGACCAAACGTTCGGCCGGCGCCGGACGCCACGGGAAAACTGTTTGGGCGCACCTTAGCCGCGCCGCGCGAAGCCAGAACGGCCGAGTCGAATTCGCGAAGGGCATAGACTGAGTCTCTGCCTCCCCAAACAAACACCCAATGGAGAAAACGACCCGGGACCAAACCCGGCAGGCAATGGTGCACACACAAGCGCTGGGCCCATGAGGGCAGCGGGCCCACGCACCAACGTGGCGCTGGGCACCGCGCCGAACTCACAGCCTTGCCGCCGGCATGAGCGGCATGTACGTGCCCTGCACCAGGTTGTCCTGCGGCAGCGGGACGATGTGGTCGGCCAGGTTCCTGGTAATGACGTGGTTGGGCGTGATGCTCGGGATGCTCGCGGTGCCGCTGAGGCGCATCACCATCTGCAGCTCGTCTTGCAGCATATGCACCATGCGCACGATGCCCTTCTCGCCGTAGGAAGCGAGGGAGTAGAGCACTGGGCGGCCGATGCCGCAGGCGGCCGCGCCGAGGGCCACGGCCTTGAAGATGTCCGCGCCCCGCCGGATGCCGCCGTCGATGAAGACGGTGAAGTCCTCCTTCTTGTAGCCCGCCGCCTGCAGGGCCCCCATGACCTCGGGCAGCACCTCGATCCCTGAGCGGCAAGTGTCCAACTGCCTGCCGCCGTGGTTCGAGAGCACGCACCCGGCGAGGCCGGCCTTGTACGCCTGCACGGCGTCCTCGCCGCACTGCACGCCCTTGAGGAGCACCTTCATCTTGGTGATGGACTGCAGCCAAGGCACGTCCTCCCAATTGAGGCTGGGGTCGATGAAGCTGCTGATCGCCCGGGTGGCACCCTGCGAGCGGTCCACCTCGCCCTCCGCCTCGTCGTCCCCCTGCACGTCGGAGCCCTGCTGGGTGAACTTGTTGCGCATGTCCTTCTCGCGCCGCCCAAGCTGTGGGGCGTCCACGGTGACGAAAAGGGCGCGAACGCCGTTCTTCTCGAGTTTCTCCACGTACTCCTGCGTCCGGGAGCGCTCCGGGTTCACGTACAGCTGCGAGAAGAGCTCCTGGCCGGGCGCGCGCGCGTCCAACATCTCGTCCAAGGTGTAGGAGCTGAGGGTGGGCAGCATGTACGGGACGCCAGCCTTCCTGGCGGCCTTCACGATGGCCACCTCGCCGTCCTGGTGGGCCAGCTTCGCGAGGGCGGTTGCGGTGAAGTACAGCGGCAGCGCGGACGACACGCCCAGGAAGCTGGTGGTGAGGTCGATCTCCGAAACGTTCACGAGGATGCGCGGCCGCATCGTGACGCGCTGAAAAGCCATGTGGTTGTCGCGGAGGGTGATCTCGTCGTCACCGCCGCTAGAATAATAGCCCCAGGCCTGCGACTCCATGACCTCCCGGGCGACCGACTCGAAGTCGAACGTGTTCAGCATCGCGGCGAGCGGCGGCTTCACGAACTCCACGATCTGCGCCTCGCCGTCCGCGACCGCTGGCGCCGCACTCTTCGGGGCGGGAGCCGCCTTCTCTGGCGGCTTCGCCTTGTGCTCCTCCCGGATGGTGGCCGGGTCCACGACGCCCATGGTGAGGGCGGGCTTCAGCAGCTTCTGCATGATGTCCTTGGGGTGGATGGGGTCGAACACGGCGGTCGCATCCTTCCCGGCGCAGTCGAAGATCAGCTTCGCCCCCCCAGGATGCACCTTGGCGAATTTCCCCAGATCGTAGGCCTTGCCATAGAGCACCACCCAGCAGTCCTCCTTCGTGTTGTGCTTGGCCACCTCGTCCATGGACAGCGTCACGGTGCTCTCCGCAGTTGCCATCGCGAAAAAACCTCCTTGGGCCGCGGGCGAATCGTGCACAGACCGCCGCTAATGAAAAACACCTGACGATAAGAGCCTTGAGCCGACATGGCTACGGACCGCTCGCTCTTGGGAGCCTTGGTCGTACCAGCTCGTTTACGTCACAGGTCACTCTTAGGGAGCGTTAGTGTTCACTGCTTACCTGTGGTTCTCTGGGGGGGCGACCCTCCCGAATAGCTCATGGCACCTTTCGCTCTTGAGAACCTTTGTGTGAAGAGCTTGTCACGTTGCCGATCGCCCTTCGGATACTTCATGAAAAGAGCTGTGTTTGTCACCGTTCGCTCTTGGGAGCCATGGTCGTATCAGCTTGCTTGCGTCACAGGTCGTTCTTAGGGAACCACTTTCTTCACTGGTTGCCTTTGGTTCTTCGGGGAGTTTTTTATGGCACCCTTTTTTTCCGATGATGTCTCGAGCAAAAGCCTCATGTTTAACAAAAGACGTCTTAACCACACGGCCTCAACATCTCAATTGTCCGAGGATGTCTCCAGCGAAACGGCAACTTCCAACGATTCGCTGAATTCCGTGAGGGAGCTAAGTAGCTCATGTTTCGAGGATGTCTCGAAAACCTCATGTTCAACAGAGAACGTCTTACAAACAACCCCATCAAACACTTTATTTGTTCGAAGATGCTTCTAGCGAAACAACATGTGTTTATATTTGGCAAGGTTCCGGGAACGACCTCAACATCTCCATTGTTCGAGGATGTCTGGAGCAAAAGCCTCGTTTTCGACAGAAAACGCCTTGCAAACAGCTCCTTCAGCATCTCACTTCTCCGAGGATGTCGTGAACGACACGCCCGAAAAAAGAGGGGAACCCGCCGAACGAATAGTCCCGTGCAATGTTTGGGTCCGAGTCCCTCGCGAGTTTGTCCTCTATTTGTTCCTAGAAAGCTTGGCTTATCAAACTCCCATCGCCTTCTCGTTCCGAGAAGGCGCTTCCCGCAACCCCGTGCTATCACGAACCAGTTGTCCCTCGCAAGTTTGTCCTGCATGGAATCTTAGAAAACTGGGCCTAACAAACTCCCACCACCTTCTCGTTCCGAGAAAACGGTTTCCGTAATCCACCGAGCAGAACTCCCGTGCAATCAAGAGCCAGTTGTCCCTCGCGACTTTGTTCTTTATTCGCTGTTCGAAAGCTTGGCCTAACAAGCTCCCGCCGCCTTTTCGTTCCGAGAAGGCGCTTCCCGTAATCCGCCAAGCGATTGGCCCCGACAGTCGGTAGCCATTTCTCTCGCGAGTTAGTCCTTCATTTATACTTGATTCAATAATGCTAGAAAGCTCCCATCACCTTCTCATTCCGAGAGGGCGCCCCCCGTCATCCGCCAAGCGACTGGTCTTTCCAGCCGCCAGCCAGTTGTCCCTCGCGAGTTTGTGTTTTATGTTTACCTTGTTCAATAATGCTAATTCGCCCCCGTCACCTTCTTGTTCCGAGAAGGCGCCCCCTGCGATCCGCAGAGCGACTGATCTGTCCAGCCGGCAGCCAGTTGTCCCTCGCGAGTTTGTTGTTCAGTTATACCTGATTCAATGCGGCTAGAAAGCTAACATCACCTTCTCGTTCCGAGAAGGCGCTTTTTGCTATGCTGCCGCATCCCCAAATCTAGAGGTCTCGCGAGCTATCGCAAGGCCGACCGCGCGGTCGACCTGCGCGCATGTGCACCTGCTGGCGTCGCATACGAAGCTACAGCCCTCTGGTGGGGGGCTCGCGCATCAGCACCTGGCCCTCTGGCCGCGGTGGCAGGCAGGGAAACGCAAAACGGCGCAGCGCGGTAGGCGCGGAAAAGCATAGCGCACCGATGCTGGAGCCGCTCTTATCAGCAGAGCAAAGTCGGCAACGCTCCAGGATGGCGAAACGAGGGCGGCAGACAGACATATCGACCACCTGTTTGCGGGCTGCGGGCCGAGCCAAAGTCGAAGTCACCAACGTAGCAGGCCAGAGAACAGGGAAAAGGCAAGAGACGCGCCAGCGTTGGGGACAAAGAAACGCAAACGTAAATTGCGCAACAGCTGAAACCTCACCAGGGCGAGATTACAAAACTTGGCCGAGTCTAAGTCCTGCGGTCACTGCCAGCTCTCACGGGCCACGGAGGAGTACTGCGCCAACTTCCGACTCTGCTTGATCCGAATGTCACGGAATTGGTTGGTGTAGTCGACCGCAAACCACCCGATGTAGGCGCAAGGGAAGCCAAACCACTTGGTTACAGTCGGGTCCCACACGAGCCATCTGGTGGGCGCGATGTCCGCTTTGTTGCGCAGCCGGGGGCAGACCTTGCTGAGGGCCCTCAACTCCGTTGCGTCGAAGAAGCAGGTACGTTGGTCCGTAGGCTGGCGTTTAGCGTACACAATGGCCTGTGGTGTCGGGATCATCCTTTGCTTCCTCGAATCAATGACCGGGCCAAAGCAAAACAAGGAGCTGATCGAGGCCCCGACGCGCCCCAACACATGGGCACGCACGCCTCCCCCATGGCTGCTGCAACTGATGCGTCGCCAAGTTGAGCAACCCCATGGCGTCGACGCGCCACGGCGCCCTGGCCTTCATAGAGGTCAGACCACGGCCGCGCTCGCCCTCTGGCGAGAATGGCACGGCAGGCGCGGTGATAGCCCTTGTGCTGTACACTGGCTCGCTCCCATCATCGGCGTCAGTCGATTTCGTGGAGCTCCGCGGCGATCGTGCCGTCGCCGAACGCTCGGCGCTCAAGCGCAGGTATATTCAGCCAGCGATGGCGCAAAGAAGAAAGAGAAACGAAACGCGTCCCGCCATCGACTGCGCGCATGCTGCGCGGGGGCTCGCGACCCCGCCGACGCGCGGGCAACGCCGGGAACTGCTCGAGCCAGGACCTTGATAAGGCGCTTTTTTTGAAGACGCAACCCCGATTCAGACAGAGGTCTCGCGAGCCCTCGACAAGGCCCGCCCGCTCTGGGGTGACCCGCGCACGTGTGTATCTAGGATGTATCATGTGTGGCTACCGCCCTCTGCTGGCGGGCACGCGCGACTGGCCATGGCCCTCTGGCCACGGGACAGGCGGCATGCCGCTGCAGCCGCGGCGGAAAACCAGCAGAGAGACACAGAAGGCAAGCGAAAGTGACGCGCATGGAAGGCATACCGCCTTTCCCAGCAGAGCAGAGGTAGCAGCGTCATGCGATGCATTGCGAGTGCACGAAGAACAAGAGACAACTGAGCACACGGAAAGTGTAACATATAATAGTCTGACAGAGCCGAACTCAAAGTCACCAGACACTTGCTCTGATACTCCTTGTTGCGACACGTGCAAGACGGCGACGAATGACCAGCCAATGGACCCAGTTGTAACAAATATGTAGAAACAATGTTGCTCCACCGCGATTGCACATCGCAAAACTATAGAACCCATGCTGCTCCTGGCCCAACAACTGTAACAGTGACGCATGAGGACAGGGAAGTCGTGTGAGATCCAGCTGCAACGGTTCGCCACTGTATCCCAACATGTTAGGCGGTCGCCCCAGTGCCCCGCCCACCCTCTGGCGAGCGCGGCGCGGTAGGTACTGTAGGATGTGCCCAGGCTTTGCACTGGCTCGCCCCCGTCGTAGTCGTCGTTGGACGGCATGGGGCTCCACGGTGGTCGTGCCGCCACCGAACGCTCGGCCCTCCAGCGTGGTTCAATTCGGCGTGCGATGGCGCACAGAAAGAAGAGAAACGACGAAACATGTCGCGCCATCGATCTGCCATCATGCTGTGCGGGGGCTTGCGACCCCGCTGACACGAAGAAAAGCTACATAATCGCTTGAACCAAGGCCTTGAGAAAACGCCTCCCGTCATCCGTCAAGCGATTGGCCCCGAAAATCAACAGCCGGTTGTCCCTCAGAGCCGCATTTTTGACCAAAAAACGTCTTAACCACACGGCTTCAACATTGAATTGTTTCGAGGATGCCTCGAGCGAACCGCCTAATTGTGGGGGAACCTGACCGGACAAGGACGGGACGCGCCGCTGTGTCCACAAGATTTGTCAGATAACGTCTCATTGAGCACATCAAGAGCTTAGTGCTTGCCTGTGGTTGCTGTGGTTGCTCTGGTGCGAGCGTGCGTGTATGTACGCGTGCCTGTGTTTGTTCCTGTGTGAGCGGCTGTGTGCGTGAGTGCGCGCGTGTGTGCAGGGTTGTGTTATGGGAGCGACGGGAGGGGGGGTTGTGCGGCGTGCGTGTGGGATGTGTTATGGGGGCGACGGGCGGGGGGGATGTACGGCGTGCGTGCGGGATGTGTTATGGGGGCGACGGGCGGGGGGGATGCGCGGCGTGCGTGCGGGATGAAAACGGAAGAGATTGAGGAGGAGGAGGAAGAGGAGGAGGAGGAGGACGAGGACGAGGAGGAAGAGGAGGGGGAGGAGGAGGAGCAGGAGGAGGATCAGGAAGAGGGGGGGAGGAGGAGACGGAGACCTCAGAGACGGAAGAGACCTCATACACGGAAGAGACCTCAGAGGCGGAGGAGACCTCAGATACGGAAGAGACCTCAGAGACGGAGAATCCTCAGAGACGGAGGAGACCTCAGAGAAGAAGAGGGGGAGGAGGAAGAGCAAGAGCAAGAGGAGGAGGAGGACGAGCAGGAGGAGGGGGGGAGGAGGAGACGGAGACGGAAGAGACCTCAGAGATGGAAGAGACCTCAGAGACATCAGAAACCTCAGAGACGAAGGAGACCCCAGGGACGGAAGAGACCTCAGAGATGGAGGAGACCTCAGAGATGGAAGAGACCTCAGAGACGGAGAAGAGAGGAGGAGGACACGGAGGAGGGGGAGGACAAGGGGGAAGAGGAGAAAGAAGAGGATAACGGAGGAGACGGAGGAGAGACGGAGGAGACCTCAGAGAGGGAGGAGACCTCAGAGACGGAGGAGACGAACGAGACGGGGGAGACAGGATCTCGAGCAAAGATGCTGCGAGTGTCGTTTTCCGAGGATGTCTCGAACGATAGCCTCATTGTTGACAGAAGACGTCGTAACCACACGGCTTCAACATCTCATTTGTCCGAGGATGTTTCGAGCGAAACGGGAATTCCCAACGAGTGGCTGAATTTCGTGAGCGAGCTCAGTA